GGTATAGATCTTTACAGAGCAGAAAACAGATGAGTGGTTTCAACTGGTCTGTCTCCAGCAAATCCACGGGCAGGGCTCAGAGGTTGATCTGCTGGGAGGTGAGGGCTATTGGGAGGAGGATCTACTGGGAGGAGGATCTGCTAGGAGGTGGGTCTGCTGGGGGTGGTATAGATCTTTACAGAGCAGAAAACAGATGAGTGGTTTCAACTGGTCTGTCTCCAGCAAATCCACGGGCAGGGCTCAGAGGTTGATCTGCTGGGAGGTGAGGGCTATTGGGAGGAGGATCTACTGGGAGGAGGATCTGCTAGGAGGTGGGTCTGCTGGGGGTTGAGGGCTGTTGGGAGGTGGGGTCTTTGGGAGGAGAGTCTACGAGGAGGAAGGGCTCCTGGGAGATAGGAGGTATGTCTCAACACTGAGGTTAAGCCCTCAGGGACAGATTAATGCTTTCCCCCCTATACTGCTTAAATTTCCATCCTGAGGGATTAGCCTAGTACACAAATTCTAGAGTGGGCTGTCTCGGCAGCCGGCAGCCTCTGGGCTCCTCACTGATACACTCCCTCCCTTGCTCTTCTGACTTCTAGCAGGACATAAAGTAGCACCAGACAGATTAATGCTTTCCCCCCTATACTGCTTAAATTTCCATCCTGAGGGATTAGCCTAGTACACAAATTCTAGAGTGTGCTGTCGAAGAACTCGGCAGCCTCTGGGCTCCTCACTGATACACTCCCTCCCTTGCTCTTCTGACTTCTAGCAGGACATAAAGTAGCACCAAGCCCTCTCCAGGACCCAGGCAGATAAGAGCACTATGCTCATATGCTTTCCAGTCTCTAAAGCCATTAAATCAAAAAAACCTCTAAGTTACTGAGCCTCAGGTGTACTGTTATAGCAACAGAAAACTGACTAGGATAACAGATACATAGGGTCATTGTCAAATAGCCTACCCACTAAATAACAAAACAACCTCACAGACTTAAATTTTCCTCAAGGTGTTTCTACAACCTCAAATGATTCACTGAAAACAGTGCAGAAAAGCCTGCAGGTTTCTGACATGAAAGATGAAGAACATATTTTCATCTAAAATAGCTCATCTCCTGAGCTCTACTGAACCATGAACAGCACTGGGGTCACCAATGATCAGGATCCCAACAAAAACCAAACTTAACCCTCAACAACACTCACCTGCCATTCTCTGAGGGGTGTGCACACCTGTTCTGCTCCTCTGCATGGGGCTTCTGCAGTGGCTGACTGAGTGGAAGAACAGAGACGAGTCTGTCCACAGGCTCAGCATCAGGAGAATCCTGCTGAAGCAGTGGGTGCTGGTCCACAGCCTCACACAGTGCAGCAAGGGTGGCCATGCCAACCACTCTGTGTACCTGACGACTCAGGCTCAGCTCCTACAGAGGACACAGAGTACCCCTGAAGTCACAGACCACTGTGGAGACTTGATTTGTGGGCTAGCACCTCAGGTCCTCCCTCCCTCCCTCCCTCCCTCCCTCTCTCCCTCTCTCCTTCCCTCCCTCCCTCATTCCTTCTCTCCCTCCCTCCCTCCCTTGTTCCTTCTCTCTCTCCCTCCCTCCCTCGTTTCTTCTCTCCCTCCCTCCTTCCCTGCTTCCTTTCACATTAGCATTAGGAAAGAAATCCAACAGACAGCATTAGGCTTTCTGGATCTCTGAAGCGTGGTAGTGAGTGAGTTTGAAGCAGCAGTTAGAACTCAGCTCATAAAAGTAAAATCCAATCTTTCTGCAGGCTGAGAGGCCAGAGGTTGAGGGGCCCCAGGCCTTCATACATGGAAGATTAGCTGCCTGTGAGTAACAAGGTCCCAACCTTCTTCCTGCTCATGCAACCAGCACAAATGTTCCCTGGGTGTCGTTTTATTTTACTGTCCATTGCCCAGGTTGTTTTTTTTTTAAAGACTCTAGGGGCTGAGGAAATGGTCAGTCAGTACAGTTCCTGCCAGGCAAGCATGAGGACCTGAGTATGAGCCTCAAAACCCACATAAAAACCTGGTGAGGCGGTATGTACCTATAATCCCAGCACCGGGGAGGCTGAAACAGGTGGGTCCCTAGGGCTCACTGGCCAGCCAGCCCAGCCTAATTGGTGAGACCCAGGCCAGTGAGAGACCCTGTCTCAAAAAAACAAGACAGCTTCTGAGAAACAACACCCAGGGTTGACCTCTGGCTTTTGCATGTGTGCACACACATTTGTAGGCACAGACACATGACTAGGCCCATAGTCCCCTACCCTAAAAATACAGAAAAGGTGGACAGTGCTGGGTAAATGACACCTGAGGTTGTCCTCTGGCTTCTACATGTATGCACACACACACACACACACACACACACACACACACACGTTAATGCTCTCACGGTGCACTC